CACTGGTCCTGAAGGGATCATCCGCCCTGGATTCCCTGTGTTTCCAGTTCCTATCTGTACCAGTGTACATCCTCTGGTCTAGCCAGATATGTAAGTGTGGGTGTGTTTTATATGCTTCTGTGAGTGGGGGAGAGAATGCTGTTAGAAATCCAACTCAAAAAAAAAAGAAATCTAACTCAAGGAGTTACTCAAGATAAGTACTTTATGAGATTTTGAGGAGCTTGTTTAAGGCTTAATTAAAAAAGTGTAAATGGAGATGCACTGCCTTCTAAGTAGATGTAACATGTTATTTGTGTGTATTTTGGTAGTAATTTATATATATATAAATATATATATATAATTTTATTGGGGGCTATTACAGCTCTTATGACAATCCATACATCAAACATATCAAGCATATTTGTACATATGTTGCTATCATCATTTTTGAAACATTTTCTATCTACTTGAGTCCTTGGTCCAGCTCCTCCCCCCCCTGTGAACCCTTGATACTTTATAAATTATTTTTATTTTCATATCTTACACTGCCTGCTGTCTCCCTTCACCCAAGTTTCTGTTGTTTGACCCCCTGTGGGGGTGGAGGTGGTATTATACAGTATTATACGTCAATCATTGTGATCGGTCCCCCCTTTCTCCCCCAGCTTCCTCCGCCCTCGTGGTATCACTACTCTCACTAAGGGTTTTAACTGTCCTGGATTCTGTGTGTTGTTAATTGTAGTTTTTTTTAATAGTAGATCAAATATTAAATATCCCCTACAATCCAAATATCTCCAGTTCCTGAGTTTGGATTTGGGCAGCAAGCAATACTTGGTTGGGAAAACTGGGTTTTGTTTTTCTCGGAGAAGATGAGAATGCCTTTGTGTCGTGATAGGTTTTTCTTAACCACGTGCTGGCAAGATTGTGACTTCATGAAGGTCACAGAAGAGGTCATTATAAGAAGGCCTAGGAAAAACTGAGTTCTAAAGTGGAGCCTGGCTAAAAAGCCTTCATGCTAGCAAGATGAACAGAAGAAGCCAGGGATCAGCGATAGTTATGGGAACCTTGACTTACTACTCCAGGGAATCCCAAGGCACACTATAAATACATCTTTATAGAAAATAAAGAGAATATTTATAGAGAATATTTGTAAGGGTATGGGTGGTGAATAAAATTAAACAAAAATGTAAAAAGCAAAGTGCATAGTGGGAAGTTATAAAGGTAATTTTACAATCAACCACCCTAGCTCAAAAGGGCTGCATTTACCCAGTGGCAGAGCTCTGAGGGCTGGGGGAGGAGGCGGAATAGAAACAGGCATCATGGCGATGGCGGAAGGAGTGGTGGTCTGCCGCAGGGATTGCAGTGGGTGAGTGGAAACAAAGTGTGTATGAATTGCTGACTGGAGACCAATGGTCTGCTCTGTAAACTTCCACGGAACTCACAAGCAACAGTTGTTTTTAAAAATGGCAACAACTGGACAAAAAAATGTGAGAAGAAAATAAAGGGACCAAGGCCCTGGAGGGACATGGGAGTGTGGGAGGTAGGGGAAGGTCAGGAGGGTTGGCCAACCTAGGGACAAGGGAACAACAAATGGTTCAAAACCAATGGTAGGGAGGGGA